GTAAGCAATTATTATTATTATTATTATTATTATTATTATTATTATTATTATTATTATTATAGGAGGAAACTACAACACCCTTAGGAATTCCCCGCAAACACAGGATAACATAAAACTGCATACAGACAGCAACCTAAAACACAAATCTTCTTTTATTGCACTTAAACCTGTTTCACAGTCATAATTTTTTAAGCTATAAAAGGCAACTGCTTTTAATAGTACAATTTCACACAATAGTAAGATACTTCTGCCTGGGGATTATTAGATATAGCCAACTTGTATATTTTCCATAATAAACTATCAGTACAGCTTAGAGCTAAACATTTCCTGGCTTAATGCATTGCAACAATTTCTAACCTTGAATACATTACATTTTCAGTGAAGCCATTAGTTATTCTACAAAAGTTCTTTAATAAATATTGCTGTACTGACATCATGTAAATGTCAACCCATACTGAATCTTTTAGTGAGATTTATCTTTTATAGCTCAACGTCCTGAAAAGGTTTTTGCTGAACAGGGGTTGATATGCACATATAATGTTACCCCATTTAAAAGGAGAAAACCCACTTAGAATCTCAAATAAGTTAAAATAAGAGACAACCATCTTATCCTACTCACTTTCAAGTGTCTCACTGTAAACAATACAGTCTCAATTTATTACTTTAGTGGAATCCAGGTCAGAGTATTGGTTTATACTTTATAAAGCATCAGAAGATATACAGTAGACTACCTTTCCTCATGGCTAAATTCCTTATTAATGCATTCATAATAAAAATATAGGAGTAAATTAAAGTACATTATTCCACACATCTACAGTAAATCAGTCTGCCATCCATTATTGCAGAATACACCAATGTATGTAGTGTAGCTATGCATAAATTGAGCACATACAGTAACAAATGCATATGCATTATGTATCTAATTTAGTTAAAAAAATCCAGTGTAACTTGCATGACATGCAAACTGAGCAGCATTAAAACATAAACGATGATCGGAACCAATAGATTTGTTGTATTTTGCCCCTTAGTATACAGTACATGTATATTAATTGCTGAAGTGCAATACACAAATTAGCGAATATATCAGGCAGAATGTACCAAGCAACAATCAGGTTTTTTGTCTTTTCATATCCTTTTTAGACATTTGATCCTTGTATTTAACAAAAACGAATCTGTACTTCACTCTGCACTTCATCACACTGAATTAGAGGTATTAAAGTATGGATTTTTTTTTCACCCATGGCTGTTCTACTTTTCTACTCCACCACAAAAAAACTGGTTAAAAGAAAATCGTTTTGAATAGCTTTTCACGTTAAATATAAAAAAAATATACTATGACAAGTTATGTATGGTTGCCAATGGTTGCTCACAGTGTTTCATTTTTAAATTGCAGCAAGGACTTCCTGGGGACCAAGGAGACCTCACTTCTCCTGATGGCGATGTTTCTACTAGCTGTATTCTACCATGGGCAACAAGTAAGACAAATGTGTTCATCTGTGATTTTCATAAATACCCCCTTCCTCATAGAATGAACTCGTCTAGAGAGAATTATTCCTATTATGATTCTCCAGTAGAAGAAAAAAGCACATTAAGCGAGGTATTTAAGGTCTGATAGTAGGATGTTCTTTACTCCAACAGAAAACAGTCTTATATTTTTGCCCCCTCTTCAGTCAGATATGCTTGTGGTCTGTTTCTCGCAGATGACTTTTTACAGTCTTGATCTTGGCTTCTGTCCAAAGTATTGTTTATGAGCACAGAGTGTGTATCTATTTACTTTGGCGGCCATTACACTTTTGCTATTCCCTGTACTGAACTGTTCCTTTAGTGATGTTATTAGTTTGTCCCCTGATGTGATTCAGTTTCAATACCTTGCTTACTGTCCTGCTTGTAAGAAATAATCCATGTTTCAAGCCAGGCCAAAAGATTGCAAAAACATGCTGTGTTAAATCACTTCCTACATCAGTGAAAAGAACATAAATATAATAGTAATAATAATAATAAAAAAAACTATCATTATGTGACAGTTGTCATAGTGCACCAGTACACTCACCACACCACAGTACACTCAGCTGTTAAAGGGGAGAACAGAGTCATGAAGCCAGTTGGGGATTGTTCGATTCCCCCATGGGGATTATCTGGAGGCCAAGATTAGTCAAGGTCAGGGACAATTTGGCCAAGACACCAGGGTAATGCCCCTACTCTTTTCAAGACACAACCTAGGATTTTTAATGATCACAGAGAATCGGGACCTCAGGTTTACATCTCTTCCAAAGGACTGCGCCCTTTTACAGTATAGTGTCATTATAGAAGCATTAGGACCATCACAGAGCACGGAGTGAGCGCCCCCTACTGGCCCCACTAAGACTTCTTCCAGCAGCAACCTTAGTTTTTCCCATCCAAGTACTGGCCAGGCTCACACCTCCTTAGTTTCAGTAGGTTGCCATCTGTGAGCTGCAGGATGATTGTTATTATATGGTGTTAATAATGAGCGCTCAGTATATCTTTGTATTTGTATGATGATACTCAAACCAAAAGACCCCATAGTGCTTTTCTTAGCAGGATGTCGTCTTCTAGTACTGAACACAGTGCACACCTGAGTGATGTACAGCAGTCATTACAGTATGAACCAGCCACCAATTAAATACAAAAATGTCCATATATTGAACAAAAGCACAAGAACAAAGAGAGATTGCATATGGATTGTGTACAGTATGTGTACAGTATCTTGTATGTACACACCTGTATTTGAAAGGCTATACTGTACATATTTTGTAATATTTATATTTGTAAATACTGTAATTATATACAGCAACAGAAGTACAATCATTCTCATCATACAGTGGCAGCATAAGCGCAAATTAGTGCAGCTAGTGGATTCAACCAGCACTAAGGGAACTCACAGGACAAAAGCCAAAGTTGGAGATCACATTTCAGAATCCAAGGGGGTTTCCAAAAAACAACGGCGTCAGACAGATGAGGTTTGTAGGTGTGGAATCTCGTAGTAAACAAAGCCAGGGAGGGTCCAGTATAGTCGATAAGACAAAAAGTCTATTTTTGTTGATAAATATTGTTACTGTTATTGTTCTTTATCAGTCAGTGTTTGAACTTAAAAGCAAGATACTGTATCTCATCTTGCAATTAACAAGTCTTAAAGGCTTTTCTGAATTTTAAGTGGTATCAAACAGATTAAAACTTAAAGGGTGAAGATTAGGAAACCCCTTTAATTTATTACAGTTATTACAAGCACATCAGAGGACTTCCTGCCTCTCAACATTGTCCTCAATCTAGTCTGGTCCAGACAGAACAGCAGGTGATTGTATCTTAAATGAAACATCAATGAGATTTTTTTTTGCTGGATGAACTGTTATAACCGTAGAAAATGGTCTTTTGTTTGTTGCACATTGACCTTGAGAAATCTTAAAAGACAATAGATTCTGAAAACTTGAATATTGACATCATTGACATTTCAAAAGCTATGAAAAGTGTACTTGCATGCTGAGAGCCATAGTGCTCATATTTTTTTTGCTGTCAAGATCCCAAAGGAGATAAATATTATATAATTCCCATGTTTTAACATTTTCCATGTATTTTATAATTGCAGAAATGTAATCCATATCAAGTATGGGAATATTTAACAGTCTTTAACAGTCTTATTTGGTCTTAACTGAGACTTATTTTTACTAAATAGTCACTTCAATGTGAAGTAAATGGTTCAGACATGAGCCAATGTTCATAGTTACTGTATGCTACTGTATCCATATTATAAATGATTTATTTTCATCAAACTTTGTTAGAAGGGAAATTTGATATATTTAAAATTGTTTTTATAACCCAACCACTAAATCATTGCCTTTTAGTCAAAATTAACAGGTATTTTTTTATGTTGTGTGCAAATGTATGAGGCAAGTTAATAGCTATTAACTTGATTGTGTTTATGAAATCGATCATGACTGTTTAGGATGATTACCCCTTTGGTATAGTCATGTACAATTTATTTGCTGCCTGTTTTTAAAGACCAGAACACACAGTTTGTTTTTAACAGCTTGGCAGTATACATTAGCATTTGTTCTGCTTGCAATATTTGTTCACATATGGAATTATTTTTACATCATGAAATCAAATTTGAGGTGCATGGACAGATTTATAATGTTAGTGAAATAAAACATGGAGTCTATTTAAGCTGAAAGTCTATATAATGTAATAATGACATTTGAGAGGTTACAATACAAAGGAATGTTAGATTTACTGTAAGTTAGAATACCAATGAGATTTCCTGATAAAGTTAGATCTCCATAAACATTATGGTTGAATGTTGAGTTGTCCGAGTGTGATTTTGGACTCACCTTTAGATTTCTTTTCATCTTATTTTTGCAGTAGGGTTAGCATTTAGTGTAACAATGGCCAGAACACTAGATAACACCCAGATCATATTTGAAGTTACCTACCTACAGTACGTTAGCATTAACAGACGTTGGTTCTTCTAATCTTAACCATATCTAAAACCCAACTCTGGCCCTAGTCTTGTCTATTACCTCAACTCTAGTGTCTCTAGTACCAATGTCAATCCTTAAACCTGACTTAATTGAGTCAGTGTTTCAACTCAGTGTAGCCCGAATCCAGCCATAAATACAAGCCTGTGTTTTGAGTGTTTACTTTGAGATGGTTTATGATCTTCTGAGCAAAATAATAAAAAAAAATCCAGGGCAACAGAAGGTTATTCATTAATCCTCTTTTGCAAACATTTATGTCCAGTCTGTACTGTACTGTTTTTAGGCATCAATTTTGAAACTGAGCTGTCATTAGTACTTGATGAAACACAGGCAGAGAGACTGAAAACCTTGTTTTACACTAATACATTACATTAATTTAAAGACAACACTGATCCTTTAAAGCTTGTCATGCTTAAGGAATGTGATATTTAATAATGATGTACTAAATAATGTAATGACAATAAAAGTTCCTATTAATTTTCATTTTAATCAAAAGGAAGTGTCAGAAACAAAGCCAGTCAAAATTTCCTTCAAGTCATGCTTCGCAGAATTTACTGTCCTGTTTTGTCGAATGCACAGCTGCCAAATAACAGGTTTTTACTGTAGTGTTTTCAGCATTTGTTGTTAGTATCATAGTAGTAGTTTCCACAATTGCATTAGGTTGCCTGTGCTTTATTACATTGTTGGGTAATCAGACATGTCACGTGTCAATCTTTAGAGATATGTAAGAAATGTACTAATATTTTAGAAATTCCTTGTTTATGTTTTTTGGAAATAGATGATGTGGAGAGAAGGAGAGTTCTCTTTGGCACTTGTTAACTAATTGCTGGTTCAGCGCTTGTGCAGAAATATCAAACTGCCAGTTTTTGGTCCAGGTGAAGTGCCACTGAGGATTGAATGAGTCCTAAAGCCATTTTATTTATGCTCTGAGCCTAACGTGAGTCTAGTCCTGCAGAAGCATGAGTGAGTGTGCACTCCCAGCCACTTAAATCTCTGCTGAGCAGAGCGTAGTTTTGCTGTGCCTGTTATCTGTGAGGGCTATGCAAGATGCCATCCACACGCAATTATACTGTCTCCTGATGCCATGGATATGATGGATATGCATGGCCAAGGGCTGGGCTGTCTGCTGGAGATGACAGCAGCATATTATTGTATTTGTGTGTATTTAGGCAAATAAATACATTTATACTGTATAACCAATAAACAGAATTTAATTTTAAACCAAATTAAAACAAATGAGCTTTTACAATATACCCATACAATCACATTCAGCAATTTTACTTGACTGACAGCAACATCCTCTGTACCTGCCAGGGGAGAATGAAGAGCTGCAGACGTGCTCCTTAGACATCTTTGCCCATTAAGTCATTCATTATTTGACACACTACAGGCACCACTGACTTAGGCTCAGCTCCAACTGGAAGATAGTTATATCATTAGGGTGTCCCTGTAAAGCAACTGTCTTATGTCTGTGCACTGGTTCCAGTCTTTCTGTGTAAATTCTCAGAACTGAATTCCAGGCTAGAGACGTAGTTAAGGGACTCCTCATAAATTAAAATGATCCCTAAAAGGCGAGATTTATAAAGTGCTTCTTCATTTCTTTAATGGAAAGACAATTAGAAAAAATGGTTACAGCACTGTAAAACAGTGTTCTTACTTGGCTAAATGTCAAATGTCAAATGTTGTAACACCAATTATCATTCTAAGCTGGATTGGTATTTCTGTACTGGCATTTACTTGTATTTGATCTCAACACTGTGGCTTTTTATAGACAAATATTCAGTAGCTCAGCCTTTTACAAAAAAAAAACAATTCTTATATTTATTGAAACTGTATAAATATTTTTTTTTCTTGTTGATTAACTTTCTCCACATGAAGAGCAATCACTTGCTAAATGACAGCAAGGATTCTTGCACCAGTGTAAGGATCTTTGGCCTTTCAGGACCATGATTGCACAATATTTTTAATACATATCAACATCACATAATGTAAGGTATCTTGTGATACTGAAGGAATTCCAGTCAAAAACAATCTAATGACATAGCCAGGCTCAAACCAACAAAACATGGACATGGTTAACCTCCTCTTCAAAGGGAATGTGCAGTATGTACCGGTTGAGTAATGCAGAAATGCTCAAAGAGCAGTTTTAAATAAAATGACTACTTCCCTCAGGTTCTTTTCCATCCATTTTCTCAATGCTTCTACCAGATGAGGGTCATTGACCCTATCCCAGCATGCATCTCCCCATCTTCTGCTGAAAACCACCATGAAGTAACATGAAGTGATGTTATTAACGTCCATTACCAAATGGTTATGCTGATGTACTGTAGCTGTAAAAACACAGACTAAACTCCTAAGCTAAATCAACCAGAATCATTCATGGTAGCTTCCATGTAATATGCAGAATGTGCACTATGGAAATTCAATCTTTAGACGTCTGCATCTATTATATTTGGCACCTAACTATGTTGGAATTCCTTAGATATTATAAACATACAGTACTGTGCCAAGGAGGGCACAAGACTAGATATTTTTTTTATTGGCCCTGTTGTACTTTGTATCCAAGTACGGCAATATACAGTATGTCCTTAATCTTTGAAAACGATTGTCCTTGTGTCTAATGAAAAGCACAAAATTATTCATCACAACAATATACATTCTCAGGTGGCTAAATATTTGAAGACATCAGAGTAGAGAGAACTATTATAATTGTCATTAATAACACCTGTGTAATCTGTGTGAACCACTTCAGAGGTTGAATATGTCAATACATAAATTCCTTTAGGATCTGTTCCAGACAGATGAGTAAACAACACATATGCAGCGCAACTATGACTTTTATGAAACGAACAACTTATTTTTATCCAAATCTACCTGTATTATTTTCTGCTGAAATTATGTAAAATTTTCCATAAAATCTAAAAACACCTCCTGCAGAGTCCATCTGGGCCTAGAGAACAGTGCATAAAAATCCAGAGGATGTGATCAGATCTAAAGAATATACTAATATATGGGAATCCAAGATATTTCATCCTCTTAAGTCTAAAACCAGTTTAGAGACCTGGCATGCATTAGCAGTAGAAGTATCAGTAATAGTGATAGTAATAGCAATAGCTATAGTTAAAATAATAGCAATAGTAATAATAATAGTAATAGTAATCCTTGAATGTTTTTTTTTGTAATTTAGGGCAGTTGCTTTTCAAGCTGAAACTTTACTTTTAAGACCTTGGCATGAAAAATCCCTAAATCTACATTAACACTCTTCCACAAAATGCTGTAACTTGTTTGTTTCTAATTCTTCTTTTTACCAATACAACAATTACCACCAGTAAGGATTTATCGCTGCCAGATTAAACTATAAAACATGGAAAAGAAACTTTGATCTTGAGCAAATAAAAAATGAAACGACAGGACATGCCAAAATTTCATTGCAGCTCAATTGTATAGAAATTGAAACATCTATTGTATGTTGATTTTAAATTGAGTAATTAAGAATTATGAGATACTCTTAATAGAGATTCTGCTTGTACATTAGTAAGCAAAGGGCACACTGCATAATGAAGTTTCTCTGAATTACTGAAGCTCAAGTAATTAAAGAACTAGCATATAATTATCTTAACTCCAATTTACTGTCAACCTTTTCAGTTTTATAATTGGAAAAGAGGAACTTTAATTAAAATCTATCTTTAACTTCAAACATTAAGATAAGTTTTAAAATGTATTAGAAAATTGACACTTGGTTAATCTTAAAGTAATGTCTGAGTCATTTTACATACAGTAGCTGTTAGGATTCTCTACATATTTTGCAATTAACAAAAAACTTTATACCACTGTTTCTGATAAAAAGGCCTTCTACAGAAAATTAGATCAGAATGAATTCAGTTAACTTAATGCAAAACATGAAAAGTTTAATATAATGCTTTGCTATTTTTAGATTAGATGAAAACCTTTTCAGGCACCTCATTTAGAGCACTGACTGTTCTTTGTAATTATCTCTGCTTATTAAAATGTCTTACCACAATATGTGACATAGGTTATGTCAAATTTTATGCTCTCCTAGAAACTTGAAGTGGACTTTTTAAATCAAATATCTAATTTTATAGATGATATCAAACTACAAAATACCAGGTTACTGAACTACATTCATTAAAGTGGTATAGTCCTAGACAAAGACATTGATATTGTTACAGTTACTGATTAGAAGTGGCTATTGATGAGTCATAATCCAAGAGACAATGGTCAGCTCCTGGCTAGTGTCAACATTTCCAGTTCTCTGGAGTTTCAAAGCAAGGAGATGTGTAGTTTTACAACATCGATCAAAGGAATTGGCTGGTTTACCCTGGTTAATTAAGTTCTAAGTAAATAATCAAGTGTCAATGAACAGTCCAGGAGCAAAACATAAAACAGGCAGGGACAGAAAAAAAAAAGAAGAGGGGAGAGACAAGAGAGAGAGGAGGTTAAAACAGAAGGCAACAGCCCCTTGTCCCAATCAACCATGAATATTAGATGCAAGTTAAATATTTGAGCCTTGTTAAGACAGTTTGCCGTTGGATGCACTTTTAGAATATGGAGATGGGTATCCCATTCATTTTGTAGCACTGATGTTAAGAGAGAGAGAGAAATTTAACTAGTTTAGAAGGCAGACTTGTTGGCCTGTGTAGGCGTTACATAAGACTTACATACTTGGTAGCAGTCTGTTGTTTTTTTCTGGTTGGTCAGGATGTAGGCTTTTCGCAATTCTTGTTTGTAAGTTTGTAAGTAATGTACAGTAACTTAGTATGTTGAACATTTATGTTGTCTGCTGTTTATTGTGTGTATTAGCATTAGTAAAAAATTGTTGAACCCAGTGTGTCTGATATATTATTCTTTTCACCAAGTCTGTTCCAGAGAACAAATAACTCAGGCACCTCTTACTCTACCAACTGCTCAGGTATCTTCTTGGCAAAACATTTTGGGGGTTATGATTATTTAACTCAATTACTGATTAGTCCGCTCATTCATTTTCTGTTATTTCTCCAATTATGTAACACCGATTTATAACAATATACAGTATCTTTGCAATTAACAGAACGCACGTCAAACTACAATTTACTTTATATAGACATAAGAAGGCAAACATAACTTGGGAGCAACAGTCATTAAAATAGGAAAGGGCACAACAAATTAATACTAAATCTGTATCGCTGTATACCTCTGGAAAGGCTGAGTTAAGATTTCATGAGCAATGTATCTTGTTTAATGTATCATACAGAAAAATGTGTTAAACTCCCTATTTAGTCCCAGCCTTTCACCATTTTGTGTTTGATCGCTTTCTTGTGTCTAGCTAGAGTACACAGCCCGGCTAGACTTCCTGTGGCGCGTCCAGGCTAAAGAGGAAATCAACGAGATGAAGGAGCTCAGAGAACATAATGAGAACATGCTCCGGAATATTCTGCCAAGTCATGTTGCCCGACACTTTCTGGAGAAAGATCGAGATAATGAGGTAACTACTTCTGTGAAAACTCTATCATCCATTTTTTTGGATGACTTCTAGCAATCTCAATGCTGTTTTTTTTTGCCAGTTATTGTCTGGCATGTGACAGTAAGTGCTTAATTTGTGTTTCTGCTAGCCCAATAATAATACCTCACCTCTATAGTCTGTATTAGACAAAGGCTGCCATCTGTGAAACTACAGGAATTTCAGTTTTAAAGGGGAAGGAAAGGTTTGACATCAAGACAATAGAGTAACATAGCAATCGTACAGAAGTAGAACAGAAAAAATCTTCATCAACCATTATTAATGAATTATTTTGAATTTATTAAAAGAAGGTATTAAATTATAGACTTCATTAAAGGTCTTATAAGAAAAGTAAAACAGGGTAAACCGAAACTTTTTTCTCTTTAACCTCTCTCTCATACACATAAAAGAAAACACACAAACTTCCACAGTGTGTGGCTCTGCTATCACTTTACTGCATATTGTCCTTACAAAAAGTTCCCAAATTTGTTAGCTACCACATCCATTGTATGGTAGGTATGGGTTATTTTTCTATATACTTTTTTAATCTATCAAAATGTTCCCTTACAAATTATTGTACATACTGTATATTTGAAGAAAGGGGTGGTGTGTGTTTTCAAATTTACAGTCTATAAAGTATCCCCAAATTTCTGAAACAATCTTTCATTTTAAAAATTTACCAACTCAAAGCTGTTGTGTACCATGGTCTCTACATGAAGGTAAAAGGTAAGTGATTTATTATAGCTTAAAGGAAGAAAGTAAAATATAATAATTGTTGAAGAAGAGCACCAAACCTAACAAACAGATGAGTATTGCTGAGGTATGTTAGAAGCCCATGAAAGAAATGTTTGCATTTTTCAGTGCTAAAAGAACGTTTTTACAACAGAAAAGTGTGAGAGATACAAGAGGGATAAGACATTTTTGTGTTGGTAAAGTGGTAAAGTGATACTAAGTGATCATTGAACTTATCTACATCTACACAAATGCAGATTAAAAGTGAGAAAGAATGTGTATTATAAGAAAATGATGAAGTGCAGAATCAAATTCTTGAAGTATTGTCATGTGTGAGTAGTTTTGTTTCCCAAAGAGACATCTGGGAATATAAGATGGATTGAAACTTTTGTGACATTGACATTGACTGAGAAACATTTAATGATATATATTTATACCATCACTAATATAATCCCCAGGTATCAGCAAGGATTTGTTCATTCAAAAGAAGCTGAACAAGACAGCTACTTCTCTACAACTCTACAGCTTCTCTCTACAACTCCCTTTGTTCACATTGTATTTGTAACACTGTGCTCCTGTTTCTAGACAGGTTATCATTTTCACACATGCAGGGCACTGCAGATTAACTAGAATTTTATTTGAAATTGTTCTATAAACTTTAATGTTTCCTAAATGAGCCATAAAATTGTTTTTTTTTATGATTTCAGAAGCAAACAGGTAGCAAAATGATCAAATGATTTTATCAAATACTGTATTTTCCCTACATGCTGAGATTCAGTCAATAAGAAGCCTGTTCTTAGGATGTTCCTACTTCAATTATTGAAGTACAATGCATGCCCAGTTGAACTGAAATCTGAAAATTGACTTGGGCAATACGAGATTTTAATTTTTCACCAGCTGACCTCTTTTGTTTATGTTGGCCTCTTGTTTTGGGTCATTGTCATGCTGCACAGTGTAGCACCACCCTTTAAGCATGGAAGCATTTTATTCTACATAAGCTGGCAAAATGTTTCTGTAAAATGTCAGGTTTCATTCTGCTGCTGCCATCATTAGTTACTGTACGTGTGAGTCAATTCCAGAGGCAGCCTTGCATGACATGAACTCCACCATGCATCAGAGATTCTTTAAAGCACACGCAGTTCCTTTCTTTCTCCGCACTTTAGACTTTCTATCCCTTTGATAAAGTTCATCTTGGTCTCTTCTCTCCATAAAATGTTGTTCTAAAACTCCTGGCTCATATTTGTATTTCCTCTTCCTAGTAATGATGAAAGATTTACACCTTGCTGTGTAAGCTTTGTAACTCTGGTTGGGTATACCTAGTTTCTGTGCTTTAATTTTTCTTTTTCTTTTTGGTCTTCTTCGAAAGTTCCTGCTATACTTGGAAAAAAGTTCTAAGGTTTTCATTTTGACTTTCCACTAAAAAATCCAAATACTGACACCAGTGGTAGAGAGATTAATAGGATGTTCACCTTTCCTTTACAAACACTTAATTACCAGCAAACACCTGAATGACAAAAGCCCACCTCTCTGGAATTTATCCTTTCAAAAAAATAGTTTCTACACATTAAGTTGTTTAATTGATCCAGTTGAATTAAATAATTTCAGTAAAATTGAAATAAGTCATATAAAATACTTTGGAGTTTTGCTTAGTAGCGATGTTTTCTATTAGATATTTTTATAAAATATTTTTATGAGAATTCCATAGCAATTTATATTTCATTGTCCCAATACTTTTGGAGGGCTCTTTTTGACTTTTAATCTGTGCATAAAACAAATGGTTTTGTTGAACATGGGTTGTGTCATTTTTCAATTTTTATTCGTATTGTTTATTGTTCAAAAGATGTATGTTTGAAATGTCAAACTACCGCAAAGACTTTGTTTGATGACAGTCAAATTTATACGAACGTACAGCCCAATGACAAAGTGAACAGACAGTAGCTGGGGTACTGAGAATTAGAAGTCTTGACAGTTACTCAGACAAAGAAAGAACTTGGAGAACTGAAAAATGTAGAACAGACTGTTGAATTGTTAAATACAGTACATAGATATTTGAGTGGTTTCCCTGATCTTTGCACATTATGTTTCAATCAGAACAACCTTCTATATTTGCTTGCGATTTAAAATGGCAAAAATTGCCTTTATTGTGTGGTTCGGAAAATTTGGCATTTAACAGAAGGTGATATGGCAGCAGCAGAAACTCAAGATGAAATACTAAGAAGCTAATCCCAGCAAAACACTATTCATAGTGTTCAACCTTATAGAACCATGTTGCTATGCAGCACATGGTCCCAAAGTGGACTGTCGTTTCAATACAGCATAAAAAATGCTTCTGTCAGTCTCTCAGTGAAAGAACATAATGAATAAGAAATGAGATGAGGATTTATACACCTCACATTCCTGTTTCCTAATTAAATAGGTTGATTAAAAATGTATGTGTGCAGGTTTCTATTGACCTTAATTATTTCTTCCATTATTAAACAGATATTTATTGGTCTTGGTTATTCAGTGTGACTCAGAGAGCACTTTTGTACCATTTTCCTGACAGACTCATCAAGCTCATGATTCAAGACATGCAAAAAACATTTTATACAGGTGTCCATTTATAACTAGCAAAACAAAAGCAGAATGAAAAAGTGAATAAAAGCTACCTTGCTGATCCTGTTTGGTTAAGGACACTTGACCATAATCCACACCTGACCCCGATACAGCAGAAATGTCAATAGCAAGAATCCAGAACCTTTCTGATGGTGTCAAGGTGCTTTGAAAGACTTTACAGACCATTATGTCACATAATATCATGGGCTTTATGCTAATCTGCCATGTAAAACAGACCTGGTGTCAGATTATGCTGCTAAGAGTCTCCCCTCCACCATTTAAGCCTTTCCTTGACTTATTTTCCACGTTTCAAGCCGGGGGTGGAGTGGTAATACGATGATCTTTTTTGGAGAGTGCTCCTACTGTGAAGATCATGTTCTACGTTATCTATACCTTAACTTAAAGTGTTATGCTCTGTCCAATGAGGTGGCTCACTTTCCACATCTTTATTTTTACAGGAGCTATACTCGCAGTCTTACGATGCTGTGGGCGTGATGTTCGCCTCAATTCCTGGGTTCGCGGACTTCTATTCTCAGACTGAAATGAACAACCAGGGAGTGGAGTGTCTGCGTCTCCTAAATGAAATAATTGCCGACTTCGACGAGGTGAATGTTTGGGGATGAGGGCCCGCTCTGCGCACTGTTCATACAACGTAACGGCGGGACATACGTCTCCTTTAAATATTATTGAAAGTCTGCAAACAGGGGCGGAGGTCAGGAAGCAGATGCATTGTCTGTATGCCTAAACGAAGTTAAGGCACCCTGAGCGAAAAGAAACTGACAATCCAGCATACTGCACGTTTTTCACACGCCTCTGTCGAAAACACAAACTGCACAGAGGCTGTAAAATCACAGCAGCAAAACAGAAAATCGCTTTGAGAAGTAACTGAAGGAAAACTGAGTTTCAAATTCTACTAAATTTTAATGATAGTCTAAGACTATGCAGCAATACTACTAGGACAGGACAATAAATATTGCCCTCATTATTATTAATGTATTATTAATTACATTCGTTTTTATAATCATTTAATATACTGCCCAAAACATGTATGTATTTTGTACAACATTATTTCAGTTAATTACACTGTTTCAGCACTTTCCTGCGACTATATTACACTGCCATAGTGGAAACCAGTGCAGCATACAGTAGATACTTTTTTTTTTTAATGGACATTATTAAGTGCTATTTAAATGTGGTAGATGTTATAAGTTTGTGAGCAAGAATGTATATGTGTGCATGACAACAGAACAATAATGCACTGCATTACATCTGAATGTAGATCTTGTCCTGTTTTTTATTAGCTTGCCATGTGCCCTTTTGAGAAAGAATGGCTTTGGTGGTTTCTGTCATGTTTGATCAAAAAGAAAACTGTTTATTATTAATTAGTTAATTTCTTGAAAACCCATCCCTAGAATCCTACACACATTATATTAAGAAAAGAGAAAAATATGTATACTTTTCTACGTGAAAAAAAAATTCCTTAAGCAGCAAAACTTAAGCAGCAGAACACAAAAACTTTATCTTAAAGAAATTAAATATTTTTGGTAATTATTAATTTATGTTCATGTAATTAACCATGCAAGAAGGGCTCAGTCATGCTTCTCCGTGGACTGTAGAATGGCTGGACTTCTGTGGCTAGCATGGAGATGAGACACGGGCAGCAAGCACATTCAGCTTCTTCAGGACTTGCAAGCAGAGAGCAGTTATTGGACAGGAATGGACAAGGGTTGGTGTGAAACTGGCCATTGGGAAGAATCCAGGAAGAGCAAGAAACCCAGGAGGAGCCTTAAGCTGATTGAAGTTCTAAGGAATGTTAAATTCCAGGAGAAATTAGGCTTCTAAATCAGGGTGAGGTTCCATGGCTTTTTTAGCCATCTGGAGCGCATTTACTGTATGTGCAGTGCTGAAAAGACTCCCTTTTTGCCTGCCTGACAATCTGTCTCAGAAGTTACAAGGGCATTTTAATAAATAAGCTGACAAGTAATAAGCGAGTATGCCACCTCACTTATAACAGAGAGGTATTCAAAGGGCACTGTCTGAAATGTATTTCCAACTCTTAGGTGTATGGAAGGTAGTGAAGGTGTGGTACAATGCCTTCAATAACAAAAGGACAGACTTTCAAGAAGAGCAGCAACCAGGGTATCCCATCAAGTCCTCCATGGATTCAAGTTTTACCACATTGAAAGCACATTCAGGGAAGACGGGTGCATAAAACTTGCTTTCATTGCAAACAACTTCCCTGGGTACCATGCATGGCCATTTTTAGCTAAGGTACTGCAAGTTGTATGGCTTCTGGATATTAAAACAACTGAATGACTTTTAGATAGTCAAAAATTCACCTGAAATTTTGGTCTCCCTCTGTTGCATTTGACAAGTTACAACTTGTATGATAACACCAGCTAACAAATTGTCAGCGACATGCATGAGTGTTTAAGGTATGATGAGTGCAAGGCTCTGGACATCTCACCTCACAGCCCTGACCAACAGACAATTTTCAGGCAAGGGCAAGATGTGGCTAGCAGATAAGACCTGACACTTGATTTCTCCTACACTTGATTTGATGCACTGATGTAGTAGTGGGACATACAGTATGCCTAAACACGTTTGGCTACTGTTAGAAAAAGCGACTTATTATTGTTTTTTTTCATGTAACCTACAGTATTAATGACTAAATGCATTAACATTTAGGAACTATTAACTTACTTATTCATGCACCTTGGTGTTTTCAGTCCTTTAGGTTTAAAGAAAAAAAGGTTTTAATTAGAAGGAACTGCACTAGCAAGGAAGTGTAGAAGATGTTTTCAATTTCTGGTCTGAAATTCAGCTGTAATGGCGGTGATCAAGATTATTTGTCGTGCAGGTCATACTACTACATTTTAATTAAATGCAGTTATTGCATCATGCTGCAAATCTAAATTTCACTTTTCTGGAAGCAGGAAGGGTTCTTTAAAACACAATAATTTTTCCTGGATTCACTGCCTACATATCTTCACACTTAATATGCTTATTTATGGCTTAAGGATGGCCCTTACTCACTTCGTGAAGATCAATAAATGTTATTACAGCATTCTGTAGCCCCAGGGAGACTGGAGGATTACTGCTGTGGAATTACAGTTACATATAGCTGCTTCCAGTCATTTAGCTGCTTCCAGTCATTTAGCTTCATTCCTTAGTGCTTGACAGATGTTTGAAAAACGTGCAGTAGTGGCAGGCAGAGGTGTTGGATGCAAATGCCTGTTTGAGAACAAAATTTTAAACAGAAGCAATTAAAAATAATCATTTTCAATCTCGGAGTTCATTGCAAAATTGTTCTTGGGAACATTTGTATATTGTTTTAGCGTCGTGTGAAATATAATTATATTATCTTTCATCTTTTAGAGAAGTACTTTACATGGAGCTTTTCCAATTATAATAACTATTACAGTCATATTAACACCCCACCTAGGGTTAGGGTTAACATTCACACACTGCTTAGACCATTTTTAAGATCTGCATGCGATTTTGGGGCCCAAGTCAGGTTTAGGACAAGTGATCTGTTGCTCCTATCTGAATTTTTTTTCCCCCAGAAACTCTCTAGGGCCTGGATGGAGCAGTGCACCGTGTGATAATTGTATCCCAAAACTGAGTCGGTCGCATCAAATGTCGTAAACAAACATTATAGAATCTAATACATTTCCAAGAGCTTTTATCAATGGGTTTGATTGTTTCCCACTCATGCTTTTTGGTTTGGAGAACATGTCTAAATCCGATGCCCAGAGAGGTTCAGATATAGATTACGGAAATGCTTAGTTACTGTAACTTTTCAGATTTGTTTATAATCAGCACATACCATATATTTCATGACTTTGGATTTCAAAGCTTTTATGCAGTAGCAGTATTCACCACACATTCTACACACACCCAACTGTATCTGAAACCACTTTTACAATAACACAGCTGTAGCATCTATATAATTGTGTTTTTGTTTTTCATGTTGATTGAATTGCAAAACTCATCTGATAAGTACATGCACATCTTGCAATATATACAATGGTTGCAGAAGCTCAGAAGACAAAAATCTAATCTCTATGAAGCCCTAAAATAAATAAGAATTCAATGATGTGTGAAGGGGATTACTTGTATCTCGAAAGAAAAAATCTTAATTTTCTGTTGTTGCATATTTGATATAAACAATATTTTGTAACCACGAGGGATACAAAACTTCACTTCAGAATAGCATCTCCAAGTTGGCTTTAGACATGAACATCATTCTAAACACATCACCCCTCAAATGATCTTCAAGTGGATGAATGGATGTACTCAATCTTAAATAAAAATCTTAAATTCTTTAGACTGTGCATGCAGAGCTAGTGATGGAGATAAAGGAAAAGAGAGTAACCCAATATGTGTTGCACAGACTATTCAACAGTCCCTGCTAAGTAAAAATGTATTTTGGCCCTGAACTCCCATCTCATTTTGCAGCCACTACACGTCATATTGGAAAGAAAGATGTCTAACATTTGCACTGCCTACCCCTTGCCTGCCATTTGCGATCCTTCATTTCGATGCTTGGCACCAAAACGTTTTTCGCTCCGTTTTACTAACCCTAGGAAGCCAGAAAATGTAGCTTATTTACTACTTAGTTGCAGAGGGCCAATGTATTTTCTGTGCTGCGGGATGTTTAATATGGCACTGCTCTCTATACTTTTAAGAGAATTCTTCATGCCCAGAGTTAAAGTAGTTGCTGAATGGTACAAATCAGGACAATGGACTCAGAGACTCTCTACCTCAGTCAGGCAACTTAAGCCAGTAAAGCATGCTAAATTAAATTAGTGTTTGGCTGAACAACTGGTTTATTTTAATAATGATAAATAAGAAAATAGTGACATTATAAAACATCACTGCACATATTAAAAAGAATACTTACAATAAATCTCAGGGATTTGTGGAGCCTTTTGCAGACCACATATGGAAACCTCTGACAGTTATAACTTGCCTGTTTTTAGGAGATTACCTGATATGTCTTGGACTGTCTCCAAATTGAGAATCCTGACTTTCACCACTGAAAGGACATTAAGGCAGAAGTAGCGTTTCACTTCACAAGATAGAAGCTGTATACGGTCATTTATTTATTTTTCTTGTCTTTCTGCCACAGTTGCTTGGAGAAGAACGATTTCAAGACATTGAGAAGATAAAAACTATTGGGAGTACCTATATGGCTGTATCAGGCTTATCGCCTGAAAAACAGGTACTACAATTACTGCTTATTTTTATTAAAAAGTAGAACTCTCATCCTCATCCATGCTTTCTGGAATCTAAAAAATAACTATGCTGTTTCACAGTAAATAGGTAGTATGGACATTGTTAAGACAGGCATGTAATACCAGAGAACCAAATTAGTATTACTAGAATGAGAAATAAGTCTAGTTTAACAATCATTTTGAATAAATCAGGAGTAAAACTATTTTATGAAATATGGTAATATATGTATAAGGTGAAAACTGTTTTCTGAAACAGTAGATCAACAAATTTAATGACGTAGACTAAAAAAAAAAAACAGGTTTTTATACAACAGAATAACACTTTGGTCATTAAGACCCATATGTAGTTAGAAATTTGAGATTTACTGATTTTTATTTTCCATAAAAACATTAGGGATGCAGACTGGCACACATTTGTATACATATATCAACCCCTCATGTACTGGTTACTGATTGATCTTTTTTTTTTGTTTGCTGCAGCAATGTGAAGACAAATGGGGCCATCTGTGTGCACTGGCAGACTTTACTATTGCCCTTAATGAGAGCATCCAAGAGATCAACAAGCATTCTTTTAACAACTTTGAACTGAGAATCGGTAAGTTCAGTTAGCTGTGAAGAACTGCCAGTGTGCCACAATACCTATCCCAGTTCAAACGATTATACACTAGGATACCTAAAGCACCTTAAGAGATCAAATTTAGGTGTCTCTCTCTCAGATTGCTTCCTAACAGGTTCTACATAATTACCTTGTCCAGTGCGTATTAGATAACTTTTTAAAAGTTAGCTCTGTATTATGTAAAAACAGCTGCAATAAAAGCAAAATGTCCATTTCAAAACATTGAAATACAGTAGGAAACAAAGCATAACAGATCCATGAGACAAGGAGCTGGAAAATGTTTATAACCTTCATAAGCTACATAAATTCAATATTTTTAACATACAGTATATAATGGAAAATTGCACTTTACTGTATTTCTTACTGATTAAAACAGCTGATTTTTGTTACCATCAAATTAACTAACACAAAGGGCAGTTTGGCCCATTGACAAAAAATACTAACTAGCCTTTTCTGTGGCAAATCTAGTATGCAGACTGATGAGTTTGATTTCTTCCTCCTGTATGTGCCATCTCATTGTTGAATAACAAACCATTCAACATTGAGCAAAGAGGAAATTTTAATTCAAAAGCTAGGAAAGGGTATTAAACAGTCAGTCTTTCTTAAAGTATGTCTGGAGTCATCTCCTCCACTTGCTTTTTTGGCTATTTCTGACAGGAGGAATGGGAACTGTACTGCCCTCCTGCCCATGTCTTGTAACTGGTGAAACAATTTGGAAAACAAATTTGAGTTATTAGCAGGAGTTCCAGAAAGTGTGAAGTGTGAAACTAAAGCCCCAATGATTCTGTGTAACCAAATACAGTACCATTGTAATAGCAAACAATACGATATACCTTTTCGCGAAATCCCTTGTTATAATAAATTATCCCATGAGCTTTCCTGACAGTAAGGAAACTTATGCGTTTGGCAATGTTGGAGGGTCAGTTGAAGTGAATAGTGTGATGATTCTCTATTTGTAAATTTTGATGTGATGTTTCTTCTTTAGGTATTGCCCATGGATCTGTAGTCGCTGGAGTTATAGGTGCTAAAAAGCCCCAGTATGACATCTGGGGCAAGACAGTCAACTTGGCAAGTCGAATGGACAGCACTGGCATCAGTGGCAAAATCCAAGTGCCTGAGGAAACGTACCTTATCCTGAAAGAGCGTGGCTTCGCCTTCGAGTACCGTGGAGAGATATACGTCAAAGGGATAAGCGAACAAGAAGGCAAGATCAAGACCTACTTCCTTCTGGGAAGAGTTCAGCCAAACCCTCTCATCCTGCAGCCCAGGAAGCTTACTGGCCAATACTCTCTGGCTGCAGTGGTCCTCGGACTTGTACAGTCTCTTAACAGGCAGAAGCAGAAGCAAATCCTGAATGAGAACAACAATTCCGGCATCATGAAGGGACACTACAACAGAAGGACTTTACTTACTTCTGGAGGACCTGAAACAGTTACCCAAGTCGAAGCTGTTGACAAACCTGAATTGCCATAAATGTTTAATTTTTTCGTGTCAATGTTTTTTTTTTATTTTGTTTTATATAAAAACAACAAAACATAAATAAAGGCATTTAATTTTTTTATAACTGGTTTTTGGCCTTACCTGGTTCGGATATTTGCCATGACCAGTTACATATAAGTTTCCATTCCCTTTTAAAAAAAAATATTTTGTTGCTTTTTTATATTTCGACTTTTTGTTTACAATTTCATGACCAAGTACATAAGCATTTGCATTCCCAGAAGCCTCCCGGATCTCCCGTCTCTCTCCCCCAACCTTCATTGCGTCCTCTCTTCCACAAGAGTCGTAAATGCAGATGACAGAGATGGCAGCTTCAGTAAGAACAGCATAGCTACTGTATAAGAAGACTGCAAAGTAGTCTTAAGGGTCACTGTCAGAGACATGGTGTAAGAGCAAATTTGCATGGTTTTCTCCCTTTTCTATTCCTTTCAGATAATTGCTTTCACATGGTTATTCCTGGCTGAGACAAGTTCTGATTTCAGAAACAGTGTTGGTTTGCCATTGGAGTAATGAAAGGAAACAAGTCAGCATTAGATGATTGATTTGTATTGCTGCTAAAAATAAAGTTATACCTTCCATTAGTAAACAGGATGTGTGATAGCAGAGTTGTAGCTGAACCAACAGAGTGCCGATTCTAATGGAAGGCTTATTCCATTAAACATCTCTGATGATGTGGAGGCTCCCTCATACCAAAAATAATAAATATCTAGGTGGTCAGAAAATATACTGTATATGGAGATATGGTTTACTTATGAAGGAAGACGCCATCATCTATCAGCCTGTTCCAACAGCTTGATGAGATTATCTAAACTTAGGCAGACCATTGTGAAGATTTTCCAAAAATGTTGTTCACTCATTTTTTGGTTTTGAAACTTTCCTCAGTTGTGGAGAAAGACTCATCTCTCAGGAAGTCCTATTTTCTACTCTGAAAGTGACACACTTGTCGTAAATGAACATGCAAAATGGTAATTCTATTTCAGTATAAACCTAAGTATGGACATGCTTTAAACTACGATTTCCTCATCCTATATATACTGGTTGTATGCAATGTTGGTGTTACTTGAAACTTTATACATTCAATGTAAGTTAATTTATTAAGAATTCTTGGAATATTGACTTATATGTACTATAAAGAGCTGCCACAGTAATGGTCTTTGGCATCTCCTTCAAAATTAAGACTTATTTAAAACAACTTATGGATGTTTTTAGAAAGGGTTATACAATCAAGCCAGACAAAACCCAGTTCCAATATTAAAACCATACTGAAAACATTAACCTAACAGTTGAGTTGAAACTCTGTATGAAAAATAATTGATCCAGTCTGTCCTGTGGAGGAACAGTGTAAACATCAATAAGATAAAACATTTTTTTGCATACAATGATGCCATGGACCACAATTCACATACTGTACTATCTCAAATAGTTAAAAAAAAACTATTTAAATGACAATCAACAAAATGAAAAATGAACCAATGAAATAATAAGCTACATCAAGGTCACATTACACAATTCTATTTTTGCTACAATGTCAAACACCCTATCATTTCCATGCTTGATGTACTTTTTCCCTAGGACTGCTCACACACACACACCTTCTGCTGTTAAGAAAATAATACATTTGAAGCAGAAAAAAGTGATCATTTCGTACCTTGCAGCAGCACCATTAGGAAAAGATCAAGTATTTTTATCATTCTTGTGGAAAACATATTTTCTTCTCAGAGGAACCCATGAAAATTATATTTTGTCTTGATTTGTATCTTGAGGTACCGATTGTCTCCATATCTTACTCACTGAGCCAAATAAGTATTATAAAGCTCAGTCAAAAGTACACCTTTGTGTGCTTCTCAGATTACACTGTCAAGACTAGGTTGCATTTGCCTCAATCATCCATTTTTTCGCCACTTTTTATACAATCCAACAAGATCACTGGCTTCTCAAACACCACTGTGCATCGCAATCATATGAGAAATCTACTCCCTCTTTGCTAGCTCATGCACATTGAATCACTGTTGCAAAACCACCTTGAAAAAAGTGCAATCAGAACACATTTGCCCCCTAAAAATCCCACAAAACAAAACAAATGCTATTCTCTAATTTGTTCAAGAAAATATTTGTCAATTATATAATTAGAAATGGCAACACACTGATCAAGAGAAGGAAATCATAACAAATATGTTTTTCCAGATTTAGATATATGGCAGGTCTTGTTTTGATCACCCCAGCCAATGGTGTTGTAGTAGTATTATGCTGTTTGCTCCTATAAAGAATACAGTATAGCTTTCAGCTTAAGTGCTGTATTGCCAAGGCAACCCAAAGCCGCATACATTTTGGTTTAAAAGAAAATTAGCTTTAGAGGAAGCAACCAAGCAGTAAGCAAATCAAGAAATTGGAAAGAAAAATAAAACCAACAGGGATGAGAGCCCAACACGTCTAGTGATTTAAAATCCAGATACAGTGTTACCACCGAAACAAATATTGACAAGATTTATACATGAAAAAGAATAGAAAACATGCCTTCACACAACATCTGCTATTTACTGCTATTTGTCAAGTGCCCTGAAATGATCAAGAAACGCAAGGTAACATAAGACAACATTTTGTAAAAACATCAACTTGGAAACATTCTGCATGGCTGATGTGACAGATTTTAGCCTTTGCATGAACACAGTTCATTCCACTTTTCTGTATATTGTTAAGTACATTATCTGATTACAAAGCAAAAATAAAAATTCAAAGATTTTCGAATGGCCCTGGGGCTCTTCTGTGTTACAGATAATAGACACATTCTAATATTAGCAACATTAGTAAGAGCCAGAGATACAAAAATCTACAGTACAGATATAAGTGTCAGCTGAGATCAAATTAACTGCATTTTGCAAGATTGCACATATAGTTTCTCATTCCTATAGTGTTGCAGTATGGTGAATCAACAGTTTCTGTGGAGTGCCACTGTATTTCTTTGAATGGACCATAGTGAAACACCTGGTATAGGTCTTTGTTCTAAAAAAAGAATACATTTCTCTGTAAGAGTGTCGAACAGTTCCAGTTCAATAGTATAAAGACTAAACAAGAAAACTGAATGCATGACTACTGGAATGAAGGTCAAACAGTCAAGGAAAACTTGTTGAAACCGACAGACCATTTCAGAAATAATTAATTCATATAAATTATTGCTTTTGCTTAGGTGTGAGAAGCAAAGAAGAATTGGAAAATCCATGTGTTTTGTTTTATTCGTCAATATGTGCCCTGTAAAATGTGTGCAGCTGTGTGTAAAACAATCTTACATGAGTCCTTGTTATTCTGTTTTTGCCTTTGGTTTACATCCTGCGAGAAAGACAGAGAAGATGAAGTGAAAATTGATTGGGTAAGTTTCAGCAGTTAAAGAAGATGAACCTATTTAATGTTTTCAGAAGCACACAGGTCAAAATCACAGCTAGTGTAGTGGTCAGCACATATTAGTGTAATTGGTCCTCAATGGAATCTAGTACAGTAAATGAAGTGTGACTTGCACTTAGGATAGGAAGTTTAACACCATGTTTTATAAAACAAACAATTACTGTATGTGATAGGTAGAAGGCTTCTGTTAATCAGGTTAAGGTATATTAATTGATATTTGTATGTTCTAGACAATATGGGGAAAACACTAAAAAAGACAATGTTTGAAGGCATAGTTAAAAGTGATCAATTTAAATCAGGGAATGTTAAGTTAAAGCTGCACAATGTACTAGCAAGACCTAATTTACAGTATTGTGAATTTTACTCACCACATTACACAAAACAAACTACTGTTCTGGCTACTATCAGGGACATTGACAGGCTAATGGAAGTGAATCTTTTAGTCTTGAACAGAGAAGATTATTTAAGCATTTAATGTACAAACCAGCCAAGCAACAATGAAATTCATACCAAATAATGCAAACAGAAACTAAAGGGAAGACCGTTTGAAATGAAGAACAGAATACACCTTTTATCCAAAAGATCCAAAACCGTTTTTAGAAATTGTAGGAAATCTTTCATATGGTCACACGTTTGCTATCCTCAGCGTGGTCGTACACGTCCACGTGTAAATCAATATCTACCTTTGATTCCTTCGTAATTTGTAATCGTTTTTACCAACAAAACCACAAAACCATGTTATCAATCGAAAAAGGACAACCGGAGCTTTAAATAAACGTTTTTTTTTTAAAAAACAAGACAATCGATCACAAAGTCACTTTTTATCTGATGATGCACTTCCAAACTTCCAATATGCATCGATAAGCCAGCAAAACAAGACCGCAAAAGCAAAAACCAGCAAAAAACAAAATACATATAGCCCATGTTTTTACCTTATTCTGAAGCTTGATATATATCCACAGAGGCCTAGACTAGCTTATTCCAGACCTGTTTGTAGTAAATGTTTGAAGCAGGACCGCCAGAAATAAGGCGATATGATTGGTAAAAAGCGCTGTCATTCATTGTACTTTCAGCCATTCAGAGGCCTTAGGGGGCGAGACTTCCTCTAGAAGCCTCTGGCTGCATTCCGCCTGCCTTTTAGCTGTCAATCATTGACTCAGAAGGGGTAATCAATCGGTTTTTATCAGTTTCTTACTATTGCTCCTATTTTTCACACCAGAAGGCAACTCTGAGTTTTTTTTTTCATTGCATTACAGTAGATAAAGGCTCTCTAGCAGTGTCTAAAGCTTTTTATAGCAATTGCAATGGTCTTATTGTTTTATTTTCAATATTTATATGATTTTTTATTATATGCGGGAAATTTCAAAGGTCCAGTCTTAACAAAACATGATGTTGATTTTTTTCTAATTGATCAATTTGTCCCAGATTTGTATCCAAGCTAGTAGTCACCTAGAACAAGGTTTTCAAATCATTCCCAGTACATTTCCAGTCCCAGAATGGAAAATTCTGACCCCTGAAGACCAAAACAACATTTCTGCCTGCTGTTTTTTTTTCATATGTTTGTCTGCTGAGTGGACACATTAAGAAATATAAGAAATTTGACTGTTCACACTCAAAGCCAAGGGGGTTAGTTTCAAGTTAAGACCTGAACCAGGCTCCTGCTATGTTCTGCTGCCGAGATATAACAATGTTTAAGGGGTGGAAATTTCAGGCGGACATTGGCTAAAGGGACTAAGAGATAAAAAAAAACATGCAGTCATGGGAGTTTGGATCGACCTACCCAGGCATGTTAGCGAAGACGAAACCCTCATTTCCTTCAAGAAATATCTGGAATAGATCATAAAATCATCCAAACAGAATGCTCTCCAGTCATTTGTTACGTTTAAATTCAGCGTTCTCAAGTATCCAAACAGGCTAGCAATGATCTCTCCGATAGGTCATTTTTTAAAACTTAGCTGAATTCATTTTCTCTTCTGTAAAACCTTGGCTCTTTTCAAATATAACCAGGAGGATAGTGTTAAAAGAGCACATACAGAATATAACCAAGAGGATAGTGTAAAAAGAGCATATACAAAATATGTACAATACATACAGTATACGCTCCTCAGTCAGATAGCTGCCAAGAAACAGCAGGAACCATTTTTTGTACAAAGGTTAGCCAGGCTGTAGGTCTTCCAAAACCACCCTCACAGGAGTGGCTACTGTAACATAGGAAGTCAAGGGCTGAAATAAGAAATTTAAATTAAATGAATTTTGTTATTAATAAAATGCACTTTAAGGGAATTTAATTGAACCCATTTGCAAATTTCCACTCACATCTGTTTAATTATGTGTCTATTACTTTTCTTTTCTCCCTAAAGAACATATGTTCTATGTGAAGTGTGCCATCTAGAGGCTTTTAAAAGGAAGACCTATAGAGAGTAAAGAATAGTCTTAATACACTGCATCACACTTAGGTATTCAGACTTTTTAAAATTGTAGAAACACATCTCCCGAGAATTATATTTTTAGCACATACTGAATCTACAAACCTTGAGTTTCTGAACATGTCATATAGAGACAGTTTGTTCCCAAGACAAAAACAAAACAAAGCCATAATTTTTTCATTTTCAGCTACTTTTATTAAAGCAGTCTATTCAGTAATAAATTTACATCAAGACGTGAACCTAACAGCTACATACAGTAGAAGTGACAAAACTAGGTTTGCTACAGCATTGATAATATTCATATTTATATATGCACCTTTAGAATTTTAAAGAAAATCAAGTGGAACGAAAATGAAAATAATTGTGATCATTCAATTCAATTCAATGTATTTTTATATAGCGCCTTTCACAACAAGGTTGCCCCAAGGTGCTTAACAATACAATTGAGGATACATTTTGTCAATACAGAACAGAAGACCAGAAGGCAACAGAGGAGAGGAACAAAAACTCGTCAGTAAGGAGAAAAAAAACCTCTAGGGGTCCAAGGTCAACTGGTTGCCAACCCCTCTGGGCATGCTAACATTATATAATTTAAAAAAAGGTCATGCATTAGAAAAGTCCTTCACTTGAAATTCAAATCGCCCAAGCTTTTGGGTTTCTAAGCTTCCAAAATAAAATGGGAAAAATTCAGAGAAAAACACAGTTTGAAAACAGCCCAGATGCAAGAATTCTGCAATTAGGAACTCAAAAAGTAGTAGTAGTAAAAATTAATAAGCACAAATATAAGTCTCCACCAAGTTTATTAAGTAGTCTTTCCCCACCATGATGTCTAAAATGAAAGTGTTGTGGAAAAATCCCTCTGGTGCTTTTGAGTCAGGTCTCAGCGTACAGTACATAGGAATTGCTTCCGTGAATTTTTAGGTTTGGTCTGCCCACATTCCCCACTACTGGTAGTTTCAAGATGTCACATACATTTACAAAGTACTGTATATTTCTATAAAGGAAAATAAAGCTAAAAATAAAATCACATAATCCAGGATACCTCAGAGAAATCTGTAAGTTATATACTGTACACACTAGGCCAGACATAATCAGAAACTCACAAAAAATTAATTTACTTGCAAGCATATTACATAAGTTCATATTATGAGCAGGACGTTTGTTTCAGCCATTTTCGGGAACGTCTCAATTTTCAGAAGCCAAGATGTTTGAGATCTGGGTGACACTGGTTTTTGGCTAAAATTCTGAAACTAAACCTGTCCTGAGGAAAATTGCTTTTTGGTAACCAGAAGGTGAAACTACTCTGTGTCAGCAACAAATCTAAAATAAAGGTCACAGATCACAGAATAAAGGTAACAGAATTGTGTTGTGACTTAACTGCTTCCCAGATTGACGAAAAATCATGAAATCATTTTGCAACAGTGAATCCAAGTGCTATAACTCAGCTTGAATTCTTTGATGACCATGTTTGTTTATCTTTTACACTGCTCTGAATTCTAGCAGGCATGATTAAAATAACCTGTGTGCATCCAACGATGAATTCCTGAGAGTTATCATCAATTGGAGGAGTGTCACAGCTCCTCCACACACAACAAACTCACACGTGCCTAGTATATCAGATGGATCCTTCCTGCAGGGCATACTGAGGATATTTTGGTCAACTTAACCCCAGCTGAATTGTTTTCAATAAAAGAAGAGGTGATACTGCCCATATTTGAAGCCTGTTTGGTTTTAAATAGATAATTTAGTAGATACTATAGTCTAGTGGTTTCTTGAAATAAGGGGAGGTAAAGCACACCATCTTAGACTTCTCTGTTCAATACTAAAATGATATAATTGTTTTAGCCTGTCAGACTAGGAAATTCCTTCGAGCCTAGGAAGGT